GAGAGAGAGAGAGAGAGAGAGAGAGAGAGAGAGAGAGAGAGAGAGAGAGAGAGCACTTTCGTCGGACTTTTCAGCCCCTGCCCCCGGCCCTGCATGCCCTTTCCATTTGGCCCTGCTTTGCCACCGTTTCGATTTCGAGCCTGCGCATTTTCGTCGGACTTTTCAGCCCCTGCCCCCGGCCCCGTGCGCCCTTTCCATTTGCCCCTGCTTTGCCACCGTTTCGTTTTCGACCAATACCCGTTCCGACCAAAACCCAAAGCGCGGTCCCACCGGCAGCTACCGGTCCCTCATTTTTTAGACAAACTGCCCCCCCCCCGCAAAGTGCCATACCTGCACCTTCTTGCATTTTTCGAGCCTTCCAACGACCAAACGACCACCAAACGACCCGTAATAATGATCGACCTGTATAACGAAGGACCACGAAAAAATGTCTCCATGTCCCAAAGGGGGAAAACGCACCCCTGACGGGCTGCGAACTATACCATACCACAGCCTTAGGGCTGCGAACTGGGCTTGCCCACCCAGGCCAAAGTAGCCACCCGGGTGCGAGGGGACTGGGGAGCCGGCGACCTTTCTAAAAGGACTGCAGGTTCGCTTTCGGCGTTCCACAAGTGCCCCTCGCCGTCCGCCGCCATCCCCTAGGATCTTGGTGACAGGCGCCTGCACAGCGCGGGCCAGAGGACACGGAGGTCTCGTTCCAAAACTTTTCCCATTCCGCGAATATGCGAAAGGGGCGTGAATGTTATGCATGATTTTTCTTTTATGAATATTCTTTTCACACGAAGTGATGCACTCGTCTGGCGATGGGTGCCCTAACCAGCCCTGCGGACAAACCTATGAAGACGATAACAATTCGATTCGAGCGCTGACAACGTATCCATAGACGACGTGTCCGTAGATGAGGTCCGTCTGCAGGGCGAAGGGCGGTAGGGGTACGACGGAGCCTCCAATAGATGAATAACAATACAGTACACGAAAAGACAAAATTGCCTATCCAACTCTTGACACGCTTCCTTGGGTGTGGCCCGTTGTACATCGTCTTTCTCATGATCAGAGGCGTAGCGAATGTTGCGCTGTTTCGCAGTTGGCAAGGTTTCTGCGATCGGCGCAATCAGCTCCACTTGCGGTAGGAAAGCGCGCCCGCTTACATCCGTGACAACTAGTGCGGACACTGACGGCACTGGGTTCTTCCTTGCGCCACGGGTGAGAGGATTGATGGAGGAGGTAAGGAGGCAGCGGGTTGAGTTACAGTTTGTTCCGGTGTTGCACTCTTCTTAGGGCTTTCTGTCGTCAGTTTCCCGACTGTTTTATTCTATTCGAGTTGCTGGGTGTCTCGCAACTCTCAATTCCGGCGAAATAAGCGCAGCCAGGCGAACGGACGGCCGGCGGCGGTCTGTGTAGGATATCGACGGCAGTGGACATCGCACGGAATCACTTCATCACTTTGCAAAATGACTGCTCGCTATCTGCCGGGGCTTGGATCGGGGTCTCTGACGATGAGACCTGACAGCGCGCCGAGGACAAATGACAGGTCAGTTCTTCCTGCCAATCCTCTCTCTCTCTCCTATTCATCCCCCCCCTATCCGTAATTGTTTCCGCCTTTCTTTCTCCTGGTTGTCTGTCTGCTGTTCTCTACTCGGCTGGCTGCTTCTTGTCGCTCCTCAGCACAATACCTATTACGCTGTACTCAATTATGGCGATGGCGTCTGTCTTCCGCGTCTCTTTGCCCTGGCAATCACTTTCCTCACCAGCTATGACCTAAGTCCAGTCCCACTTCAGGAGGTGTCTTTTCCACCAATTATCGTGCTCCTCCCCGCTCCGCCCTGGCCACCCCGTGCACCCCTTCAACACACACCTGGCCGTGTTTCGCTCTCTTTTCCTTGCTCTCCGCCGCAGTACTTTCCAGTTCTGAAAAGCCTGTATTCGTGGTTCTCTCTTCCTTCCTGTTTTTGTTTTGTATCCTGTGCACCCTCGCACGCTGAGCTCTCTTCGCCGACTTCCCATGCCCCTCTCCAAGGCTCCATTCCTTTCCATGCACTCCTGGTCTGTGCTCAGTGATGTCAGCCTTCACTCTCTTCTTTTTGATCCTGAACACTCTTTTGCCTCTTCACTCAGGTGCGTTTCGTTGTTGTCCTCAGCGGAGCCGATTCTCCACTCATTGTCTCTTCTTACTCCTTAACTAACCTCTGGGGGTGATAGTCTTCTCTGCGTTTTCTTTCTCGCCCCCCTCTTTTTTGATAGTCCGCTCACATTATCTGTCACCCTTAGCGTCCTTTGTCGTCAGAAGCAATGAATTAATTACTAGTCGTCATGAGGCGTTTTCCTTCTCTAGCGATCAGTCCTTAAGTCGTTATGGTTTTCTCCTCTCCCTGTTCTTGCGCCAGGCGTTGCGAATGTTCACCTCCTATGGTGGCCACTTATTGTTAAACTTTGCTGCAACTTATCTTTTTTTCATTCGTCGTTTGTTTGCTATGGACTTCATTACGTTTTCTCTGCTTTTATTTTGCTCTGTCAATTTTTTTCTGCTCTCATCCCTTTGTTGATGTACTGGCGTGATTATGGATCAAGTCCTTCGAGGGGTGTCTTATCTTCTTTGCGATTCGTCGTTTCTTTTTTGGGGAAAAAAAAAGTTTTAGCAGCATCCGATTGCGGTGGCACAGGAATGTTTCGCACTCCCCTCCGCCTGTCAATTCTTCCTAGTGTTTTTGTCTTTTTGGAAATACCTCGGGTGTGTAGTGTATGTCTGTCTTCTTCGTTTTCTCCTAGGTTTTCTCGTCAACGCCAGCCGTTTCTCAACTGGACTTGCTCTGTTGTTTCTGAGGGGAAAGCGTCTGTCACACTCCGGTCTGCGTCTCTGGTTCCTGCCCCAGGCGAGCTGTCTTGTCCACCTTCAGGCCCTTCACAAGTGGTTGAGTTTCCAATCTTCTGGTTTTTAAGTGCTAGGGTGTTCGGATTGATCTATGCTTCCACAGGGCAACATACATGCTATGTTTCCACAATTTTGATTGAACACCCTTTGGGGCCGCGTTGCATCTCTTGATGGAAACGGCGGATCTTCCCTCCGCAGGAGTATGCTTGTCTACAGGGCTGAGGTGTACTCGCTCCCGGATTGACCTGCGAAGCGTGCAGCAGGTCCCGCCTGTTCGACTCCTCTTCCCATTGCCTCCGTTTACTTACGGAAGAATAACCTCTCCCCTGCAGGCATGCCCCCTTTCCTGTCGCTTCTGAGCGCGGTTACTCTAATCTAACGACGCAACGAGACTGGCGGCGCCCGCCGTTCACCGCCTCGTGGCTCCCCCGCCTGTGCATCGCCTTCGCGAAGACCTGTGTATCTACTTACTTACTTCGGCGGCTGTCTGAAGCACACCCTAGCTGGTATAACAGGTGCAGCAGCCGCATTGCCCCCCTCTTGCGATGGGTACCTATCTTGATTCGCATGGTTTAAGGCAGTAACCCGTCCCTGACGGCTTGTGTCGCACCGTCCTTCGTACGCGGGAATGGGTTCGGCTGGCGCCCCGCAGTGGGTGTGGTGCTTCTTCCGTGTTGGCGTGGTCCCGCTTTTTCCCGTTCTGCGTGGCGCCTCTTCTGTTTGACACCCTTTTCCTTAGTTACCTTCCTTCCTTCCTTACCCAGGCCGCTTGTCATCCGTGCGTGGCGGGTGGCGCTGTGACCCGCCGCATGGTGTGTGCTGTGCGCCTGCTTGCTTGCGTTGGCGCTTTTTTTCGAGTTTGAAATGGTGACGTCCTTTCCCGTTGAGCGGGGCGTCGTTTAGGCATTCCGTCTTTTCCCGAACTCGACGCACCCTCAACATGAAATGGATACAAGCTATTTTTTCGGTCCGATACCATCGTGATGAGGGTGCTTAGTGCGCCCTGAAGACAAATAGTATTGCGCTCTGCTGCACGGTGGGCCGTGGCGCCTATTCCTGCGCAGGGTAGGGGGCTCGTTTCGCAACACGACAAGTGCAGCTTGGCGCTGTTCCCCGGTGCAGTAGCAGCTCCCCCTTGACGCTCATTTGGCGGTGTCACTATTTTACTTAATTTGGCGCCCTAATGCATGACACGGTTCCCGCGCTCCGTAATCGTCTCTTTCGTTCCCTTGCCCTTGTTGCATGCAAACTGGGACGTTGCGATATTTCCTCTTTTTTGCGCTCCGTAATCGTCTTTGGTTCCCTTGCGCGCCAAGCGCGCGCTTCGAGCTACAAGTGTAAGGCATAGCCGCCGCGGGTGGCCCCCTTTCTGGCCCCCGAAATGCGCCCTTCCCGCTTCGCCACGTCAAACGCCGCGAGCATTGCGCAGGTCGTTGCCCAAGTATCTCCCTGCACCTCTGGAGCCGAAGGACTCCGACGCCACTTTCTTCATTCCAAACGGAATACAGAGATTGGAGATCTGCACATTGAAGGTTGGTCACCAGAAAAAAAAAAGGTTTCTTTCGGCTGGCCACAGAATATGTCGTGACCACCGCCCAAAGAATATGTCGACGAGGGCGCAGCACTTCGTGTGTCCTCTTACGCACGGCGCGGGCGGAGCACAGTCTTTGACTGCAAATCGAAGGGGCGCAGACAGGCGCCCATTCACCTGTTGTCTATGGGGAAGACAGTCTTTGACTGTGCCGATGAAGAAGGATGTCGCCCTCGACCGCTGCCCTGTACTGGCTTCGCCCACCTTATATACATGCATATCCCTGGGTCAGTGTTTCAATTCCGAAGGGATGTCGCTCTCGCCTTCTGCCCTGTAGCGGCTCTATCCACCTGTGAATACATTCCCCCCGGATATTGTACCGATTGCAGAGGGATGTCGCTCTCGACTGCCCTGTAGCAGCTTCTGCCGCATTGAATTCGTACCCCTGCTTTTGTTCCAATTTCATCTTTGTCCTCCTGCATCTTGGTCTGTGTGTGGAAGGGTGTGGTGTGGGTAGTAGGTGAAATATACCTAGGATGCGTTTTCCACTCGAATATTTTAGGGCAGCGGTTGTGTTATTCCCCACCTCTTTTCTCCCGTGTGGGTGGCGGCAAAAATCGTAGTTGTTGATGACGTATGGCCTCCCTCTTCTCTTCTTGTAGGGTTTCTCTGAGGGCGTTTTGGTGTAGAAGCCATATCCGCTTTTGACATGAATGGCAACCAGGTGAATTTCGCCCCTCTTCTGGCCCCGCGTTCTAGCATGATGGCCCTAGTGTGAACTTGCTCTGATCGTCATTTTCGGTTATGATGTGCCTCGTTTTTTTCCTTCCTCCCCCCTTTAGGCCCCCTCGATCGCGGCAGCAGCTAGCTCATTTCTGCAATTCCGTTTGAGCGGGAGCTTGCTCTGCTGATCATCATTCCTATCCCGGCAATCACTAGAGAGGAGGAAGACGACGACCTGATCGTCAAGCTTCTCTTGGAAAATGGTTAGGCACGTCATCAATTGAACTCTGAGCAGGGATTTTCTTTCGCGCTATATTGATCTTGGTCGTCATTGGAAAGAAAGTGATTTTCAGTTCAGTGCCGTTTTTTGTTTCATTTTTTGAATCCTTGTTCAGTCCCCATCGCCCTGTAATTACGCTGTTCCCTCCCCTCCTCACCTTGACTCTGAAGATTGTCATTTTGAAGGTTGTTCTTTTGCCCAGATGAACAACCTAAGAATCTACAAATTCCCCGACCATGACTTGGAAAGGAAAATAAAATTATTATTTTCCTACCAAGATAAAATTGAATATTGCACAGATGACGAATGAACGACGTCCTCGATTCTTGCGTTCATATGGAAGAGGTCCTGTCTGACGTCGACTATGTTCTTGGTAAATATGCCTCGTGTGCTCTGGCTGACGTTGTACACATATAGATACTTGGCGACTCTGCTCGCGGAGCGGCAAAATCTGAGTCCTTTTGTGGAAGTTCTACCGAACTGTAGTCGGCTGCTCAACCAAGGTTGTAAGACGTCATCAATCCTCTCGCCGTTGATTGTATCCAACTCGTCTGCTCTTTTTCTTTTTTTTTTCTTTTTGCTTGTTTCCAAAATTTGTCTACGTTCCTCGTTATTGTTCCTGCGCCCCCCTCGCCTTTCTACCTACAATCTGTGATTGATAAGAGGGGAGTATATACGTGAAAAAAAGAAACGAAAGGTGCCCTGTGCCCCCCATTCTGGAGCTTGTGTGGATATTATATCACAGACGCAAGCTGTCCCGACGAGGAGTTTGGGCCTCGCTTCCGCACACAATGCTCTGAATGCCGGGGGGAAAATCTGCAGTGGACTCTTGATCCTGCACGGCGACAGGGATAATCGAATAGCTACAAGCCGTGGTCACACACGTGCCGTGTCAGAACAGGTTCTTGAGGAGAATAGCCTCGTTGCTCACCTGTGGATGAACTGAGTGTTTGTTTGCTATATGTCGGAGGAAAAATGTGGTTGTGAAATGTGTTACGTTTTGTTGTATTTTGCCCCCTTGGTCTTGGGAAGGATCATGGGGGTTGATTTTAATTGTTCAGGAAGGCTGTAAGACGTCGCAAGGAAGGCGGCGGGGGGAAGGGAGAGACGGATGTAAGGTTGGGGAAAACAGGGGGATATCGAATGTTTAAGTGTAGTAGATATGCCTTGCAGGCATCGTTACCTTGCGGGTGGGACCGTGAGACGCTCCCTAAGCAGCAAACTGCCGACTTTGAACTGGTGCGGACAATTGGAATCCGACTGTTTAATTAGAAAAAAAAATTGTTGCGATGGGTCCCAACGGATGTGGACGCAATCTGATTTCTGCCCAGTGTGAAGAGAGATACAACCAAGCGCGGGTAAGAGGTGGGAGTAACTACTCTCTCAAGGTAGCCAAATTTTCCTCATCATTTAAAAAAAAAAGAGAAGAAAAAAGGTGTCGGTATCACGGGCTTGGAAAGTATTGCCCCTCCCACTGTCAGGCAATCCCTGCCTTACAAGATCCAGGTAGGTTGTTACTGTCTTGAGTGGACGAATGAATGGGCTAGAGCAATTAGTGCCCCAATAATCAGGGGGGTACATAGAATCCACACTGTTGCCATTCATGACCTATCTGGGCCTATCTGGGCCTTGGAATTGTCAAAGTGACAGGAAATAGTATAGCAGGGTTTAGTTGGTTAACTGCTATCCCTTCTTCTGAGAGAGAGGAAGGGGTACGCATGCGCAACGTTTTGAAAACGTGGGTGGATAATTCATGTGTTATATGGTATAATAATATCCGCCGTGTAGTCTTCCCACATGGGAATTGGGTTGAAGAAAAAGAGTTTCCAGCCGAAGGTAAAGGGAAAACGTTTTTTCTTTTTTGTTTTTTTTTTGTTTTTTGTTTTTTTTTTGTTTTGTATTTTCTGCGATGTGACTACGGATTGAAGCAAGCGATAGGAAAGAAAGTGTAATTTTCTGCAGCCTTGAAGGTGGTCGTTAATTTTGAACACAGCTTCTATCGTCAAGACGGAAACAGATTCTTTCCTCTCTGTTTTGGACGTGGCGATTATGGAGTGAAAGAACGGTTTTAACTGCTCATGCTCGAATTTGGTAGTGTTGGACGCCAGATTCTTTCCTTCCTGTTTTGGACCCCAGATTACATTTGAATTCCTTTTTCTTTTTTTTCTTTTTTAATCTGTAACGTAATTACTTTGGGAAGTTGCTGAGTGCGCTCATGGATATTTTTGGGATCAACGTTTTTTGTTTTTGTTTTGGTGTCCTGTTGTACATGTCAGCGGATTTTCTTTTGTTCGTTTGTTTTAACCTCCCGTTGCCTCTTCTTTCAACCTGGATCTAAGGGAATAATAGGACGAACATGGTGTCGTACTGTCCTCACCCATATATTTGCGACCAGCCTTTGCTGTCTATGTTGAATTCCAAGAGCGATGCTCTTAAATCCCTAGTCTCCTTTTACCGTTGGATTCACTGAGCTCACTTGCTATGACAAAACCTCGGAAGACACCCTGACTCTCTTTGGACCCTTGAATCCGAAAATTCTTTTCCGCTTTTGTGAACTCCGGGGCCCTTGACGGTCCATTTATCGAGCGCCTTTTGTGGGGCCTGGTTCCTGTATCGATGTACTCTTCTTGGATGTGAGAAAGGTGCTTTGAGCACTTCCTTTCACCTTCTTCTTCTTCTTCTGCTTCTTCTTCTTTGTCTTTCTTTTGCGGATTTTGCCCCGCAGAAGACCCCACCCACTTTCCTTTCCTCACATTTCTCCCCGCCACATCCCCAATCCTTCGGTCCTACCTCAGTGTCTACCATTCAGGATAAGCATCCCTTTATCATTTCTCGGTGGGAGGACCTGACAGGGCAGTGGTTACAGTCACCAACGCTAAGCAGCATATGGCGCTTTGCCCTGTTGGAGCATGCTTGAATGAAATCCCTGTTTTTGTACAGGTATTTGAATGAAAGCCCTGTTTTTGTACAGGTATTTTGAGGGGTAGGTGGACGCATTCTCTGCGAGTCCCGTGGGTAGACCCTAGACGCCCCCTAAGTTTAATACCCAGGTCCCTCATTGTGATGAGCATGCTCCCTGAGCTCCCTCACGCAGTGTCTAGTGGATGAGCTTACAGGGGCGCTGACATGGTAAGATTCACGTTTAGGGTCTTTGTGCTGTTGCTTGGTATAGTGAGTCTAATTCTTTTCTGGCTGACATTACGAACATGCAACGTTATGTTCGAATACAACGGTACCAGTACATCCGACATGCGCCCTTGGACCCATGAACCGAAGGATGGGTTGTCTTAGTGAGTCAACGTCTTTTGGGAAAGGATTGAATGGGCTTCATGCATTGGCAGGTGAAGTGCTCTAGTCTTTGCGAGGCTTCATTTATTCCTTGGTGGCAAGGAATAACACAGTGACTGCTTTGTTCAATGGCGTGCACGTGGATGATTTTTTGTATGATTTCAATATGGTGTTCATGTGTTCTGTCCGAATATGTATGTTTGCTTGGCATGGGTTCGATCTCGGGATCTAGGCGTTTTTTAAAATTTTGTGCGTGTAGTTTGACGTCAAGGCTGTACCTGCGCCTTAGATATAGAGTAGGCTTTCTCTCTGTAGTCCCATTAGGCCCTGTGCCGGGGGAACTCGGCCCAGTGGGAGCAGATGCAGAACCAATGGGCACAGTCATTGCCTCATAGATGTGGCGCTACTGGGCACTGTCATCCACTTGAACCGGGATGAAGTAGGGCCAGAGCCCCGTCGTACCTGATCCGGTGTCGAAGTGTGCATAAAGTATAACCAGTTTAGGAAGAGTCGGACAGACAGGTCCCTCGAGTTTGCACAGTGGGAGAGGCGCATGCCGAATCATCACCTGGGTTGAGGAAAAGCTGGGCAGACTGGAGCTTCCTGAGGGCAGAGGAGTGGGAGAGGTTGGGCCCAGTCATTCTTCTGGGTGTTCCAGCGTTGATTTGGGGAGAGCCCTGGGCCCAGCAATCCCCTGGATGTTCCAGTGTCGAATCGGCGATAGAGTAGGAAGCTGAGGAGGAGTTGCACAGAATTGCAGTGGTAGCGGTACATGTGCAGTGTGCACTAGCTGTGTGTATCATTGTAGGTGCTATGGGGAATGTTGCTCGCGGCAATTAATTCTGTATCTCCTATGTGTGGAGTGAGCCTTTACCTCATACATGGAGCAGTTTAGCTCTGTCACCTGCGTTAATGGTTCCTTTTGTTTTGTACAATCTCTCTATTCTCTCTCTCCCTCTCTCGCTTTACTTCGGAGAGGGAATAGATTCGCAGGATCGTAGGGTATGGGATTGGATGAGCTTGCCCATCAGTGCGTATGACTGCCTTTACACAGCCACCTTTCTCCTTCTGAATTTGCCTCCTTAGCTGATTGGAACTGGTTGGAAAGATGTCACTGCTCAATCTGCATCAATAACTGAAACAGTGTTGACTCATGAACTGCTCGGTCCTCCTTAGTAATTGAAACAATGTTGACACACCAATGGTGCCTTTTTTTTAATCGTTAACTCGCACTGAAAGCTGTGATGGTTCTTATAGACTGGGTGGTGACAGAGTTTAGGCAAACTGGTCCGGGAAACACATGCTCCGAAGAATTTTTCAATGGGTAAAGCCAGAGTGTCTATGAAAGTAAAAGAAGTATTTACAGACGGTTTCTGGCTGAGGAAGGTGTGTAGTTGTAAATACCCGTGTGGTCCACGGAGCACACAATCTGAAGTTTTAAATATGCAGACATTCAGCTTGCTGTATTGCCAACAGACATGCCTCTTACTGTATTGCCGCTGACTGTATGTCCAATGTACGGCCTCCGTAGGCAATTGACTATCTGCCTTCTGGATACAGCTTGATCAGTGACGATGAGAGGATGGAACAGGATGTTGGATGATGCTTCTGCTTGATGGGTTGCCTGGTTTGTCCATTGCACACCAGATTGATTGATGAACGATCATGACCGGAGCAGTGAGGGGAAAAACTGTGTTAGCAGTGATGGTGAGGGTTCTCTTTGGTGATATTGCCTGCAACGTGTTTATAACAATTAACAAGGTTGACCATGGTGGGAATATTAATGCTGATCACCAACTTATTGAGAGAGAGAGAGAGATAGAGAGAGAGAGAGAGGGCATTTGACTTCAGTGATGAGTAACTCTGAAATGTTCACTAAATCAGACTTTGACGGATTAATTATTCTTCTTGGTGAATTGAGACACGACTCACATGAGACTAATTCTAGCGTGTTTTCTGGTCTGGGGACAGAAATTGCCCGTGTGACCTCACTGATGGGAAATGCTGCTTACCATGAGGCTGATGGACTTGACCAAGGCGGTTTGGGGGCTGGTAGCCTAATGCAATCGGGAGGTTCCCTCTCATCAGCAGGGATAATCTCTAGTGGACCCGGTGCAGCTAATGACTATGGTGGAAGTCATTGGGGGCCTGTTCAAGGAGACGTATGTTGTTTTAACACTAAGCCTAACTGCCTTCTCCTCGTCCTCCTCCTTCTCCAAACTCCAAACTTCTCGTGTCATGATCTCTATATTGTACATGTTAATGCCTTCTCCTCTCCTGCCCTCCTGCTCTCCTGGAGGTTGCCCTCGTGAATTAATTTATGTCGTCGTATGTTTATCATTGCTGCTGCATTTGGCCTAACCTCACGTGGATGCATGCCTGCTTAATTCGTCCCACCATGCAGCTCATCTGCCTTTTCTTTTCCATTGCTATGAATGATGTCTCATTTGGCGTTCTTTGCCGTTTTGGTCTTCTTCTTTGTTAATTACTAGGGCAATATAGTATGACGGCATTGACAACTTAGATGAACGGTACACTCCACCACCTGCATGCTGTGTGCACTTTTAACATTGTTCGGGGCTTAAGCTGGTCCAGCAGTCCCGGCAAATTACAGCCATACAAGCTCTGGAATTGGGCCGTCGATGGCAACCCAGAGTAAATCTGGAACTCCATCATGGTTTAATCTTGTGCATAAATGACTTTAGGCATAGGGGCCTTAAGGAACTCACTTGCACGTCTTTGGCCCTTGGATAATCTTCCAATCCAGCAGATTTATCTTGATTGCTCAGTAGTACTGTTATCCCCTAGGCATGCCGTCCTCTCCATGGTACATCATTGAAGATGAATGTTGCATACAGTGGCATGAAGTAACAACCGTGTATTTGGTCTTGTGCTTGCATCATCATTATAATATTTGGTCTAGCAGTGGCGTTGGAAAACTTCTTGACGGTCCCTTTTCTGTAATAGAATGCATCTCCTCGGTGATCGTGGGTAGCGTGGAGGAGGAACGGGGAGTGGCTGGCTCGTGTATTTGGTCTTGTGCTTGCATCATCATTATAATATTTGGTCTAGCAGTGGCTTTGGAAAACTGCTTGACGGTCCCTTTTCTGTAATAGAATGTATGTAACTGAAAGAATATCTTGAGTTATCAATCCTCTCTTATTGGAATTTCCTATGCTATTTTCTTCTCTACTTCCTTCACTTCTGCCTTGATGCAGGCAGCACACGAATGCCGAAACTGTCGTCCTGCACTCTTTATCTGAATAGTTTTGACATCCCATTGCGGGTTGCTTCCTTTTGCAATGGTTTTGGGAATGTAATTGCTGACCTAGTGCCCGAAGGAACGGTGGCATGTGCAAGCCGAGCGTTCAGCAACCTTGGACGTGCTTTGTGCTTGTTCAGTTTGTGGCCCGTTCTTTTTTCTTTTCAACTCTTTTTCTTGCTTTGATGCAGGTTCTTCTCAGGGGGATGTTTAGTGTACTTGTGCGGTTTGAGCTTACATCCGTGATTGTCAGATATCTTCATAAGCACTGTTACCCATCCAGCTGCTTGGTTGGATCTCTGGTGACCAGCTTGCTGATGGCTTTTGGCCCTTATGTTTTTTCCGGTTCCTTCAATGTGATGTAAAGGGAGCCAGTGAGCGAAAAACGAACTCGGAATCTGTGATGCTCATCGGAGAAAGACTCTGTCGGCTAGTGGACACGTCGTTGCTCTTCCTATAAAGAATATATCTGTGCTGTTTGTGCCCACAGCAAGCAGGCCGTTCTGTTTCTTCCCTTTGCTGGTTTTCATGGTCTCGTCCTTACCTTTTTTTTGGGGGGCACTACGTCCAGTTGCGTTTGGCGCTGTTTCTCTATTCCGCGTCATAAGTTCATGCCCATTTGTGCCCTTCGCATTTGATCTCCATAGAGCAAGTAAGCTTTTCTGCACGTGTGCTAAAGACTTGTGGACAGCACTGGCGACATTCCAGAGTTGTCGGCAACGAACGATGAAGAACAAAAGCACAGTGATGGTACTCATAATAGAAACATTTGGGTTTAAAGGGATCTGGTTAATGAAGAATGCTTGTCAGAGAAGGTTTCATCCTTCTGGTTGTCTTTCTCAGTTGCTTTTCTAATTGCCTAGGAGCCCTTCTTGTCAGCAGGGGTGCAATGGTATGGGCCATGTTTCACTTTTACATTTTGCTCTGTCCCAGAGGCTGTTTCACTCGTACATTGTCTGCTACCTGCCTGGGCGTTTGGCCTGGCTTGGGCTTCCCGTGCAAGGCCCTGGTAAAAAGGCAGAGAGACGTTGGGTAGAATTGACGTATGGAAGGCTTTGGGCCGAGGCCCACTTCATAATCCCTTTTGTTGACGTGCAGTTCTTAAATAAAATAAGAACGTAGAATCTGAACCCTTTGAAATTGAAACTAATGTGTACACCCCCTTGGGGCCTTCAAAAGTAAGGTACACCCCTTTGAACACTTTGAACCCTGTTTTTACTTCGAAGTAACTATTAACCAGATTGAATGATCAGTCTGGATTCTGGTTACTCAGGCCAAGTGCAGTCTAAATTGGCGTGGGTGCCTGGCTGGGCGGCCCAGGTCACTTGGTGACCATAACCAGATTGAATGATCAGTCTGGATTCTGGCTACTCAGGCCAAGTACAGTCTGAATTGGTGTGGGTGCCCGGCTGGGCGGCCCAGGTAACTTGGTTGTCTTACTATGTTCTATCATTCTTCTCTGAAATGATAAATACAGGTAGGTAGCCTCTAAAAAAAGGGTCCTAAAGGTCGAGACTTCAGGACAACACAAGGAACGAGTGCCAAGGCCAGCAGAGATAGATGCAGTGCAGGGTTCGTCATGCACCCTTGACTGGGGGAAGGTCGCATGGATGATGCTGAATGTGAACGCTTGTCTTTAGGTAGAGTAGTTGTCCGTCTGCTGAAAGTCTCTTTGATCTGGATTCTGTCGACTCAGGGCGAGCACAAGTCCAGCCAGTGATATATCTCCACCACCATAGAAATCACTAATGTAACCTATCTCTGAACCGTCCATTGTCCAGCTGGTTCGTGGCCCAGATCGTTGCATGACAATGCCCTGCATCGTCACCGATCTTACAGTTTCACGATTGCATGTCAATCTGGTCTGTTGGCTGTTCTACTGGGGTCTGAAGCTGCAGGCGAGAATCTGGCCTCACTCCGTACCGGGCCTGGCCCCTCCTGACCACAATGTCTTCAAAAGGGTTGTTCCCCCTAGGTCTGAAGGCCGTGCACGTTATGGAAGGACCGTTTGTCATCCTTGGGCAATGTTTTCTCGTGCGCGCTCTTTCCCCACTCCGTGTGGAAGAGTGCCTGTGTTGTCATACACTATTCTTCCTTTGTATCCGCACATTTTTCATTGCCTCCTTGGTCAGAGGACTGGTCTGCCCTCGGCGCGTTTTGCAGGTGGCGTGCTGGCCCTGTGAAATATGAACTGGGCGCTGCCAATGGCAGGAAGGAGGGGAGAGATGTTGGAGAGAGAGAGAGAGAGAGAGAGAGAGAGAGCTCCCACCACCAACATCTGACATATTTTGTTTACAATCGTAGCTCCAAGTATGTTCAGTCTGGCTTATGCTGGGTTGTTACCGGGCTGGGCGGCTCACGTGGCCTTTGTCGTCTAGCCTCAAAAGAAAGGAGAGGTCTGAAATGTAGAGCCCTCACAAGGAATGAGCGGTAGATGCAGCGCGGAGTTCATCATGGGTGCTTGGTTGTTGGCAGATTGCTTGGATGTCACTGAATCTGAACACACGTATTCAGGTAGAGGTTGTTTCTTGTCTGTTGAACTCAGGTTCTCTTGTGCAGCTTGGGTAGTGATTTGCATATTGTGGATTCACGATGCTGAAGGAAAGGCATTCTGACACTCTTGGCCATTCAATTGTTAAGTACAGGGGTTGCAGCACAAGATTTCTGTAAGGCCAGGTTGAAACTGCTGCCATTGGTGCCCTTGATCTTTTGTGGAAATGTATTAGTGCTGTATTCTGGTGTGTATTTGGCTGGCAAGACCACACACTTCTGGATGTCTTTGGGTGTGTGAAATGTGTCAAGCCACTCTGGCCGCTGCTGCGATCTTTCTAGGGATAAGCTTTGCATTTCTGATTCGATCATCTGTTATCCACTTGGTCGGAAAGCTAACCGTTGTTGTAGGCTGTTGAATTGGAGAAGTACCTCTTCGAGTGAGCCCTGCAACTGTGAATGCGCCACTGACACAGGCACTGTGCGCTGGTTAACAGTAGACAGGTGCCTTTTGGCTGTGCCAAAGCTTGTTTACCCTTATCCTTAGTGAGCGAAGGCTGTGATGACATGGAACTTGCGATTTGTTTCTCCTGTGAGCGAAGGTGGTGTCGTGGGGCTTTTAGTTGCATGGTTGGAGTGGGGTAGGCTAAGTTCATGTCTTTTTTATGATTGGTCCCTGCAAAGAGCGACCGGGTTTGGATGTTAATTTCTGTTTGCTTTGCTGCAAGTCGGTGTATAAATCATGCGCCGATTACCCGTAGCGAATCATGAAGGGAAGGGAAAATGTGTTGAATGTGAGCTGAATGCTGGCAATGGTCTTTACGTCTGAACTCTCTGCTGGGGCCAGACGGAAGGAATGAATTGGCATTTTATTCTCATAGGCTTTTTAATGAATTATTAATATTATTATATATCAAACTTGGTCCGTGTACTAATAATGCCTTGACTGGAATGTGCTACGAAGAACAGCCTCTGCCAATTTTGATGGGCCCAGGAGGCTCAGTCCCACAAGTATCACCCTTCTGGGGAGCACAGGGAGCTGCTGCGGGACCACTTGTGAGGAAGACGCGCAGGATTGATGTTCCTGTTGACAAGCACCCAAATGTTAGCTCGACATCCTCTTCCACATTCGTCAACTCTTTTTTTCTTGAATGAAGTCAGCAAGAGCGCTTCACCCGTCTGTAATGATGCCTGATTTTGTGCTCTATTGAGAAACTGTTTATGGCAAGCTGAGTTTGGTCTATATGTAAGAGTTTTATTCTGTGCAATGCCTGTTCTCCTGTGCCCATGAGGTGGAACTGCAAACTTCACTTGCATACCTGTATTACCATCTTCACCCGAGTAAAACGCCTGGTCATTGTCGCTGCAGCTTGTCTGAAAGTTGCCCCAAGTACAGCTATAATGACCGGGCGTTCTATTCGTGTCAAGACGGTACGACTCTCTTGATTAAATCTGCTGTAGAAATAGTCGAAATTCCTTGTGCAAGAATGCCGAGAGCTGTTGGGCGCCTACTACTCTCTGTGGAATGTGTTCGGATTCCAGTCGGTATCTCTTTGCTGCGAGAGACCATGCTTCCATTAGGCTCCCGAGGCATGGAAAGCCAGAAAGAATGGAAGGGAGGAAGATGGCAGAGGGTTTCTGAATTCAGAAGAGGATGGAGGTGGGGTGCGGAAGTGTTGTAACAGGACTTGGGATGTCTGCGATTCTTAGGGGAAGACAGTCCGGGGATGGAAATCGGGAGTGGATTGGGGGATCAGTTCCACTGGTGGTATCTTTGTGTCACCCCTGTTGTTGCCCATATATGTGCTGGGGGTTCAGATCGGACTGGCCTGCCGCCTTTCTGTTCTTGTCGTTGTCTTACAGCTTCAACCAGTGCTGCTAGCCGCTCTGACGAGGCTGGAACCGGGGCTCTTTTTTGAAAAGAAAGAGATGTATCCGACACTGAACCTTTTGTTTGCTGGCCAATGGATTTAAAGGTCAGGCAGACCTTTGGCATTGTCTTTGACATGCTCACTTGGGTAGGAATGATATGAAGGGTTGTACGCCACATGGCTATGCACCATGAAGACCAGAGTAGGGAGCTCTATCTGTGTGTGGATCATTGTCGTCCCCTGAGCTCTGGCTCATTTATTCTGTCTCTGCGGGAGCTTGAATGAGAGTTGCTGATGCTGCATGACAGTAGAGTGTACTGATGGAATACTCCAATAATCTTATGGGACACTGTTTTATGAGTTGTCCACAAAAAAATGTGTGGTTTCTATAGTTGGAGTTGGTTGGGGTCTTTGTATGTTACTCACTTGAGTGTTGGCGAAATTTCTGATGTGACTGTGGCTCGGTGTTGTATATGCAGTACAATTTTGTTGGACGCTTACTCGGTCCTCGAGGCAACTCTCTAAAGAGGGTTGAGAGTACCACCGGTTGTCGGGTTCTGATACGAGGAAGAGGATCCATCAAGGACTCGGGAAAGGTGCGACAAAGTCCAGCTGCTGATGAGCATGCAAAGGTGTTTTGCTGTGTCCATGGCTCTAATGCTGCTTGCTTCCAGGACTGTGTGACCAACTCCTACCTATTCCATAGTTTCTTAGAACAAGGCAAAAAATATATAGCGGAAGATAGCGGATGCCTCCCAAGTGTCCTATTATCATGCATTGAGCTTTGTATGGCTTTGTGGGAGCACCTGCACTTCGTAAGAGGAATTGAAAGACGAGTAATTGATCTCGTGGGTGCATGCAGTGCCATGTGTGTGTTTGTGCGTATGTGTATGCCTCCTTTTGCTACTTTACCTAGCTCTTGTGATCGGTGGTGGGTGTGTGCGCCTATCTTTGATGATATCTTAGCTCTTATGATCGGTGTCGGGTGTGTATGCCTCCTTTTGTCACTCTTCTTAGCTCTTTTGAGACTGTGAAAGGTGCTTTTATTAGTCACAACGTTGCCATTTTTTTATTAGTCACAACGTTGCCATTTTTTTTTGAGCCTGTGAAGCAGGTTGATTGTCCGGTTTAATGATCAAGGTCTACGTCGTTGTTGCTTTCATAAGCCATTATGCTGTACGTTTTGCTGCCATTTGCAAACTTCTGCACATTGTCACTGACCTTTTCTTTTTTTAATTTGGACCATTTCTTGACTTATGCGTGTCATCCTTGCGCAGGGGCCATGCTAATCTTCTCTGTATCGTTCCAATTTTAACGGATGTCCCGAAGGACTTGTTGTCACTAACTTTGAAAAGAAGCCAAAACAAAAACTATGCAAATGCAAAAAAATGAAAAGTAACTTGCGGCGGAGCACGGCGAATGTGTTTGCGCCCCTTCAAACGTAATTGTTTTTTCGTAAAAAAATAAATAAAATGTTTTTCGGTTTTTTATTTTTGACTTGTGATTGGCTACGAATTTGAACATGACTCCAAGCCAAAGTTGGTTGTATGAATTTTTTTTTTTTCAGATTTTGAACATCATTTTTCTGAAAACTTTTGTTTTTTGTTTTTTTTTTAAATATTTTTTTATGTTCGCGTTTGGAGGGTTTTGGGCGCTTGTTCGCGTTCGGGGGAACATGTTCGCGTTCGCCTCCGAACACGAACACAGTGCTACGCAGGTAACTTCATTTGGTAGCATACCAACCAGTTTCAAAACTTCCAGTTCCTGTCAAAGCATAGGGATCTGTGAAAAGGTTGGTATGTGTAGCCGACTTTCGTAGTAATGGTTTCTGGATTCAATCTGCCTGTGGTTGTGAATATAGATGTTTATCTTGTGCAAGTCGTCTTGCAGACAGTTAAACCACCACCACCTCCGCGCGTGTTTTTGCCGACCCTGATTTTCACTGAGTTTCGCCGAGCCTGGGTTCCGTTTTGTTTCTTTTCTGGTACTCTCATGAAGAAAAAGGAAAGACAGCAAATTGTTTTACTCAGAACTACTGTGGGATCACCCCCCCATCAGGCCTGGATGATCCTTCGTTATCTGGCAGCAGACTACCTGCTGAGAGGGCACAATCTCCCGCCAGAGTGCATCTCTGGTGCTTGCATATATCAGTATTTCTGTCTATTTATCGTTTGCAGAGTGCTCCTTTCTACACTTTGAACGGTACTTATTGCCTACCACTTGGAATTGGATTGATTTGGGGTCACTCTTCCAGGTAGACTGTGAGGACCCCGGCCTCAATCTCCTTCTTGACAAGGAACGTTGGGCCCGGTAGCAGCCACAATAAAAGAATGGGAAAAAAAAATGGAGTTTTGATTGTCAAAAAAAAAGAAAAAAACAGAAAAAAAAAGAAAAAAAAGGAAAAAAAAAGAAAATGACCCGGTCGCAGCCACAATAAAAGAAATGGAAAAAAAAAACGGGTGGATACCGAGCCCAAAGTCGCTGTGCGAGTATGCCCCCAGTGAGGGCGTTATGGCAAGGGTGTCAGGTCCACGGACAAAGGAAAAGGACAAAAAAAATTGAAACTGAACTTAAGCCGGGAAAGCGGGTTCATACATTCTACAAAGTAGTAGTGTGGGCATGCTCCCCGGCACAAAGTGTCAGCAGCCTGTGGACCGCACCGTGCCTCCCTGGCGGGGCACTGAAACTGAAAAAAGAAAGAAAACAAGAAACACAGACAATGAGAACCTGGAACTGGCCGCTTTAACGGTTTAGATACGAACGTGTGAGTTTTGGTGTGAGCACGACTTCCCCGACATGATCTTTTGTTTTCCTCTTTTTGTTTTTCGAAGGGGCCTCCCACAAGTCCCAACTGCCGAGCCTCGTCCCATTTTTCCCAAGAGTGACAGGGGTAGTGGTGGTTTAACGCCCCCAAGAGCGGTTCAAACCCCCTTTCCCAAGAGTGACAGAGGTAGTGGGGTGGGGTGGGATTGAACTTTGAAGCTGTAACAGGACTATGCAGCAAAGGCTTTTGCTGCTTTGGGTTGACAGCCCAGATTGTGGTGGATTTGTGTATGATGTGTGCAGGAAGATAAAATGAGGGATAAGCCAGGTTTTGAGCATTTGAACGAGCCGCTGCATGTGCTCATTGAAGCCGAGCTTCCCGCATCAACAGTTGATGCATCACTGAATCAGGCTGCTGAAATCATAGAAGAGCTTCTGAAGCCAGTGGTGAGTGATCATATCTACCTGCCTCATGTCCTTGTTGTTGTGAAATGTGTAGCGGTGTCTCAAATGAAATGCTGAACCAGAATCCTAATTCCTCGTGCCGGGATGAACCGGATTCCTCTTGGGTTATTGACCTGAGGACATAGGGTGGTGCATCGAAGGGAGGGACGTGCTTAGCATTGAATATGTGGAGCTATTAGTTACTTTTGCCTTAGTTTTGCAGGACTGACCTGAGTTGCTATAAGAGCAATGCGTGGTTGGAAAGGGTGCAATATGGCGCCGAGAACGTAATTGTATGGCTCAATTCTTGCAATCGTGCGACAATTGACTTCTGTTCTCATTGAGCGATTGGGAGTTCTATGAATGTCTAGTGCATTGAGCGTCACTTCTCGACACCTTGAGTGCTCTCACACATTGAGAGGTCACACAAAATCCACACTGGAGTCCAGAGATGCAAAGTCCAGATATGCGCAGCTTAGCATTTCCAACGAATTATCACGTTAAACAGTTTTGGAGATCCAGTCACCAAGCACTTAACAGCGCAGAACTCAGCAACCCAATACCAGCACCCTCATCTAAGGTAGGTGACTCTCTTCTCTCCCTGGCTCTCTCTCTCTCCTCTCTCTCCCTCTCTCTCTCTCTCTCCCTCTCTCTCTCTCTCTCTCTCTCTCTCTCTCTCTCTCTCTCTCTCTCTCCACTCTCTCTCTCTCTCTTCTTGAGAATCTCGACTCTGAATACATCCGCTGCTATTCAGCTCTATCCCTACTACTAACTTATGCGGCTATGGCCGCCTTCCCTCTCAGTGGAGTGCTGCCCAGCAGGGCTCTCGTGCGCATGCTACTCGCAGATAGTGCACAAGCACTTCAGCAGCACTCCACACTTCTCACGAATGAGCAATCTCCCTGAAATGTGGCTGGCCAGTCCTTATATTGACTTTGACTGAGCCTCAACTCGTCCTATCCTCTGCTTCCTTTGGCTGGACTTGGATGCGCCTGGTAGCACATGCTCACGGCCTGCTTGCTTCAGAATGTCAATGCCTGGTACTTTTCCCGAATTTCATTGGTGTGCTGCTGCTTGGGACTATGAGTCACGACTTTTCGTCCGTGGAAAATGACTTTTGACTGTGGGATGTGACTCTTGCCTCTGGGACACGACTTTTGCCTGGAGAAGTGCCCTTTGCCTGTGGGACATGACTTTTCACTGTTTTCAGTATGAGGCGTCGCTTTGGCTTACAGAATGCAACGTTTGCCTTTGGGATGTGACGACTGTTTACCGGGGGGTGCCTGTTGGGCTCGACTCCTAAGGTACCCGACTGCGACTTTTCTGAAACTGGCCCCCCGACTCGGCCTCCCTTGGCTTGAGATCTTGACCCTGAAATTCGAATTTGGGGTCTGCATCGTGGAATGCCTTTCACCTGGAAAGGAAAACATATGTTGAGCATGTGTATGGACAAGGTTGATTGCAACATAATACATTTGCTAACGCTTGTTGAAACTAAGGGTGTGCCATTTCTCTTTTTTTCTCTCCCTTTTTTGGGTCTTCTTTTGCGCGAGGGCAATGCGCTGCCGCTGCCCTGTAGGCTGTGATGAATCACTGTTCTGGACGTCTTACAGGCAAATCGTAGAGATGCTAGAAAGCGATAAATGTGTACGTTCTGCTGGTCTGATGTAATGGAGAAACTGTGGGGTGCGTTTTGATGCTGGGATTTCGGGCTGCCGGTCAGGATGAAAACTACGACGTTGTCAAGAAAGCACAGCTGAGGGAATTGGCAATCCTCAATGGAACCCTTCGTGAAGATTCGGGGCCATATTATGGAGGATCTGCAGCAAACAGTGCTGGTCTGAAACGCGCAAAGACTAGGAGATGATGGAGTTTGCCTCCATTATCAGCGCTTTGCGACTTTTTTGAATTAATCGGTATGTATTTTATTATTGGTTCTGTATGTTTTAGCAGAGGTGTCAGTTCTTTCTGGAATCTGCTTACGGTTGACGTTATCGTTGCGCTGTTTGAGGTTTAGACTCGTTGATTGAAAAGACGCGGAGACTTTGATTGCTTTCGACTTGATTGGGGTAGTCCGTTTAACAACTTGTCATCGTAAGAGACTTGAGCTCTTTTACCTGTTGGATAACAAGCAGGACGGTATGTGCGAGAGGGGGTATGTAACTGGGGGGAAAGAGGCAGGATGGGCTATATGCATGCTACCATATGTGGAAGAGGGGGTCTGCAATGCAGAAAGAGAATGGGGCCAATGTCCTGCAGCAAAAGTGGAGAGAAAGAAGAACATGCAGCAGCCAAGTTCTGGGCATGCACTCTTTTCCATCTGTCCCCATTGCAGATAAAGTATGTGTGTACAGAAACTGCCAAAGTTCTTCTTGCGTTGAATTAATGCCTTTTGTAATTTCTGAACTTGGCAGCAAAATGTCCCCTCATCCATTGAAAATGATTCACTCCTGGGATTATAAGGATATATAAATATTGGACAATGTCACAACGTAACACGGTGGCAGAAAAGGCAACAGATACCCCCTTTGGTGACATAAAAGGCAATCGAGACCCCCTTTGGTTCCTATAGATATTGGGGCTGTCCCCAGTTACTCGACCCCCCCCGAACGGGCGAACATATGCTCCCGAATGGGCGAACATGTTTGCGTGTTTGCCAAGCCTCCGAACGTGTTCGCTGTGCTACACAGGTGGTCAGTAGCTAGAGGTTGGACTGGCCATGTTTCCAGCTGGTTTTATGTGAATATAGGTGGAAGAGGTACATATGCATTAAACCGCCAGCACATGGCCCCAGGCTTGTGGAAAATTTTTTCATCGCATACAAAAAAAATTGGAGGCTCGGGGCTAGCGGACCCCACAATGGCTATCGGCACCAGCCAAAAAAGGAAAAAACTTCAAAAAAATGCGATGCTCACGGTTCTGCAAAACTTGGCACGCAGTGAAAGGCCGTCGGCACGGGTGTACTGCTGGTTTACCCGCAAGCCTCTCAACAATTTAGAGATCTTTAAATTGGGCTTGTATTTTTTAGTATACCAGTGTCGTTAAACCACCAGTAGACTTCCTGGAGTCGTCCCCGATAGCGCGCCACGATTTTAGCAAACGTACGGGCTACTACAGGAGTGCCCAAATTCATCCGAATGGAAACGTTTCTACTCCTTTTTTTTCCCGCGGCCGATATAGCTGGGGCCAAGTACTGGTGGTTTAACGACTACCGTGTGACACAATTTTGAAGTTTATTTCATGCATGGGAACATCCAATGACCACCAGGGGGTTTAGAGAGGACTGCCGTAGGGTAGAGGCGTTGAGTTGTTGATGGTTAGTGTGGTGGACCTCAACTGTCTTCTTTGGTTTTGGACTGTGATTATCGCGCTTGTTTTGCAGGTCAGAGAAGGGAAGATGTTACGAAGGGTCTGAAGAGAAAAAGGGGCGATGGGAGAGTGGTATGTGCGTGGGCGGCATTGGCTTACACTGGTCACATGTGCATAGTGAGTGCGATGTGTGTACTGATGTGCTGCAGCTAATGTGTTATCCGAGCACCGCGTCCCATACATTACGATGCTTCTGTAAACATCCAATTTTGTGAACTGAGTTTTATTTCTTTTCTACCTCATAGAAACGCCATTTAGGAGGTAAATGGAGGCGGCATGCAATGTCCCTCATTCCTAGACTGCAGCGGACTACCCTTAGTAGCGGTTCTAACACTGACGCCCAGCCCAGACTGCCGCGACGCCTAACATTATGTTGCTTTCCTTTGGATGTTGGTGGGCAGCAAGCAGACGGTCTGTTTTCGACAGAAAGCACATGCTTTGAGGTGTAGGCAAAGCTTCATGACTCTTTTTCAGTCAAGATCTAACAGACAAATGGAAAGCTGCTAATAATTCTGTCTCTGGTTCCAATCACCATTCGGGCCCTTGCTTTCTGTAAGGAAACTTTGAAACTTGAAACTATAAACTATGTGCCTGTCTTGATGTGACAGTTTGCTGCGTCCTGTGTGGAACAGCGACCTTCCCAATTGTTGTGTGGGTGTGTGCTGACAGAGAGGCCATCGTGGCAAGGAGAAATCTCATTTATCATGGTTTCCGCCTCTGGTCTGTTCGGACCTTTTTTTAAATGTTCTTTCTTGCATTCGCTATGTACTTTGTTCGGCCCACACCCTTTCGTCGGCGCTCTTGCTTTTTTTTGCTAATTTATTTGTGCTGGAGGTACCAAAGTCTAAAATGAGAGTTTCTAGTTCACATGCGAGTCGGGTACCCGTAATTTCAACTGAGCTCTGTCGCATGGGATGGTAAATGTGTAGCCCCACTGTGTAGCCTTTCTTCCACTTATGCTGTAGATGACGAATGTGGTAAACCACGTAGTCCCTGTTCGAGAACTCGGGACAGGCCCGTCCGGGGGGCAGGCATAACTTTGTTTTTTGTTCAGGGTTAGGCCTACAGTCTTCCCCTGAACAAAACGCATGTATGTACTATTCAACTTTCCCTGGAAAAGTCGATAACTCGAACTCGCCCCCTGTAATCCAATCAGTACGCACGTTCAAATAGTATGCACGTAAGTTCTATTCGAACAGGAGGGTGTTCTATTCAAATACCACCAGGTAAGTCCCTTGCCATGCTTTCCTTCTTTGTTGCCGAGGACTCCTTTGCTCAATGATATGCCCTGTCGCTTCCCGTATCTGATCACAATCGCGCTCCAAGAAAATGAAATGGCGAGCTTGTTTTCAAAAGCGCATGCCCTGCAGTGCTCCACCCTGCCTCCCCCCCCCTCTCTCTCTCTCTCT